TCTTTTACTTTTGACACAACAGGGTGTTCTAACAGGTCGCTTATCATAAAAGCCTTTCTCAACTGACTTTTGAATCAAAACAGCAGCATAACATTAAGCTCCTAGAATGACATCCCCTTAATCTACTCATCAGTCATACTGTGGACTTGTTAAATGCTTGATCTATTTTCAATGGCATCTACCAATTTAGCTTACAAGAGAGGGCCTATATCCTGGTAAAACATTCTTGATGGTTACAATATATTTTCGGTATGCATGCGTAACCTTAGTATAGTTTTGCAGACTTCTCTGTGTGATTTCAGTTACTACGCTAAAATTCTTCCCAGTGTGTACCTGCATGTAAAAGCATGCATGCACAGGCCTGCCCCGGCTCCCTGAGGTTATGTTGGTGGTTCCTATTTCGGCCTTATTCACACAGACCTATTTCCTCTGAAAGTCCTTTTCACTCTTGCTATTATAAACACAAATGATCAACAGTGTGCACAGCAAACAGCATTCACAATTTTCTAAAGGAACTCAGCTATACCACTTCTTTCTCTTCGTGTTTGCTGTTGTTCACACACAAAGAGACAATTTTGTGGCACTATAGGAGGGTGTGACTGAAATGGCTTTTGCCATTTGAGTACTTCCAATCTGATTAGGGCCTGGTTTTATACCTCTACACATTGAGAGAGGTTAAAGCCAAAAAAGGAAACCAGGAGTTATAATACATTGTCTAAAATGTCTAAAAAACTTCTGGACTAGCCAATAAAGTGAAACTCCAAGGGTTTTACTGTGTCACAATACTGACACAAAACATAAAAGATTAGATGAACAAGTTAGGGAATTGCTTTAATCTAAAACAGTTGTTCTTAGAGCAAATGGCATGCTTTGGAGTCTGTATACTCCAGTTAAAAAATATTTAATTAGTAAGTTAGTTGCCAGTTGCTTTAATAATCAATAATGAATAATCCAATAATTTCACTCCAAAATGATTTTTTTAAATCTATAGCAACAGCATGAAAGACACTCCTTACAGTTTATAAAACGATACATTTAGATCCTTGATATTTTCTCCCTTTCTACTCAATGTTTTAATACCATGTATCCATCTGGGGATGGGGAGCAATCTCCCATTCCATCCCATCCCTGGACTCGCTCTGCTGGATTAAGATCTGTGATCCGTAAATTAATTGTAGTGCAGTAAACTCTCTGAGGCGATATTGCAACCAGTTTTAGATGATTATGATTTTGCAACATTCTGAATTATACTGCTTGAAATATTCGTCAGAAGACTGACATGGTCATAAAGATACTCAGGTCAGCAGGAGTGTTGCAGGCACATTAGCTGTTTCTCAGCCCTTATACCCAGCACTCTAACCCTAAAAAGGTTTTTCAGTTTCAGCATACTGTGCACTATGCTGAAACATGCACCGGTCAGGATTTTAGGATCCAATCACAACATCGCCTGATTGTCGCTCATCAATCACAGCATCAAATCCATAAATCATTCAGCTGCTTTCCCATGTACATTAACATGGTATTATTAGGTATCAAAATTATAGGGGGTGAGAAAGTGTCATGAGCTGACTAATGTTTTAGTGAAGGAGGCAGCGGAAACTAGCTGTTTTAAGATTAAATGGAAGATGGAGAAAATTATATTGACAAAGGATGGAATAAGGAATGTTCTTAAGAGGTTTGTTGGTGGGTTTTAAAAAAGCTGTTTTACTTTAGCCCTATAAGGACTGGTCCTACCACCACTCCTACCAGTAGTTGCCCTCTCAACCCAATCCGCCACTCTGTCTGCTTGGAGGAGCCCCTAATATCTGTTTCTCTAATTCAAGCTTCTGCCGTATTCCTTTAACCCCCTTAACTTGCTTAGGTGAGCTGTAGTCCATCCTGGAGCTGTTTTCCTGGCGGATTTCTCTCCGCCTTCCTCTTGAGCTGCCTTATCTCCAGCGGGCTCCTCTGATCTACTGTTTTGTTTCCTTATTTCCAAAGGGTGACACAACTGGCCCGTACATCCCGGCTGTGCTGCTCTTTCTCCCAGTGTTCTCACCCCCTGTTTTGGAAGCTCTGACCAAAACAAACATGGACAAGGTGTAGAATGATGTGTGTCCACTCAGAAAAGAAATTTTTCAACAACCGGTGTTTAAAATCTGTGGTCTTCATAATTACTGCCCCTTTGTGGCCAATCACATGAAGATTGTCAAATTGTCATGATCTGCTGATTAAACGTGCAAGTCTATTTGGCACCTACATTTTGTTTGTTTCTAAGATGCAATTATTTGCTTTTATGTTAACGAGAAATTGACCAGGTGTAGCAAATCAAGTGGAGCATCGGATGTAATTGGCCTACTGAAACCATATGCACTTTAAAAGGGAAATTCTTTAGTTACTTTATTTTTAGAAAACAGGTGGTTATAGTTTGAATTCTATCTATTTAAGCTCTCAAGATAGGCTTCCTCTGTATCTCGACCTGAAGTAAGTTTCCATGGTTATGAGAAGGCCTGTCCTATGTGGATTTAGTAAGAATGCCTCTTTATTGTTTAGATATGAAGCTCTACCTTGTTGAGATTCAGTTGAAAGCTGATATCACTATTTATTCCATGCATACTTACCAAAACAATACAACTGATAGGGACACCCTGAATCTGTTTGTCAGAGATTTTTCAGTGTAATAGGTACCATTGAGTCATTCCTCAACACCCAGGTGGGCGTAAGCACTGAAGGACTTGTACCCAAAGAGGTTTTTCTGCCTTATAAACACCAGGGTGGTTTGTTTACATACTCTGCGTCAGTTTGGAAAGCCGCCATTTACTTAAGATACACACACAGATACTTAGAATGTGCACAGTGAGGTGAAGGGAGTGTGAGTGGAAGTGTTTGCATGAACACGTCTCTGTGATTACCACCCTACAACAGTCTATTTCTGACTGTCCACGTTTTACATGCACATTGCCAGGAAGTGCAGTTTCCTGCAGAAAGGTCTGATTCAGCAACAGCAAGCTGTTGCTCTTGTTTTTGCGTGGAAAGACAAGAGAAGGAGTGACAGGAAGATGATGCATCTGTTTGTCTTCCTCATAAAACAAAGTTGCTATTTTACAGGTGCAGGAAATTTTCTGCCATATAATCTATAAGTATTTTTTCCAACAGAAAGCCCATCTTTTCCATTATTTTTAATGTCAGTAAATATCTTAATTTCTTAAAGGTTCCACAACAGATTATATGCTTGCACCTACTCTCTAGGTTCCAATAACCTTGGCCATAACTATTATGCATTTACTCGTTCTCGAAATTCACCTTCCAAAACCTGTATGAATAATTGCACCACTCCTATGAGACATCTATCATGCTCCTGGACAGGAGTTAAGAACAAAAAGAAAACGGAGGTATGAGAAACTCAACACAAGCAAAGGTTAATACGGGTTTTAGAGAGGGGAAGTATAGCTTTTAAAACAGATATGTGCTCAGGAGTGAAGGCAGATGGAAGACAAAGAGGGAGAAATCTTAAAAACTGGAGAGGGCATTTTTGCCTCAATATGGGAGGTCTCTCAGTAAGTCCGACCTATATGGTTTCACCGTTATTGGCTTTGTGGTTTTAACTGAAAACCAAATTATGGCTGTTCAATCCCTCGTCGCAGTTGTTACCTCAGGAGAAAAACTGAATATCTAAGTATCCCATTTGTTACTTTTGCTTAAATTAATACCTCTGCCTCTAAATACAAATGGCCATATGATGATATCAATCTGCTTTTTGGAATTGGTATGGAGTATGGTTTATGGTGCAAGGTGCTTATCTTTGTGTCTATCTCAGTCAGTTTCTGTTTTTGGCATCTTGCAGGCGTCTCTGTAATGCATCATTTCTTTTGACTGGTGAGGTCATGTCAAAATTTCCACAAGGTGAAATCATACACATGCCTAAACTTAGAAACAGGCTTTTCTATTTTTCCTTTTTTCTGGGGCACAACTTTTGATTGTGATGCAAATTTAAATGCTGCACAACTATATCTCTGCGTAATGAACTTTTCCATATTCTGTGATGTTATAATTACAAACTACTACACTTACTATTTTTTGAGCTGTATGTAAACATTACTTGCACAAAAAAACAACATGGGTTATAATGACACAAAGCGAGATGCTATAGCTACGAAACAATTTGCTACTTTTGCCTTTTACTTAAAGATAATTAATATAAAATCCAACAACTCCAAAATTATCTGTTTAACAACTTACGACTAATACAATCACCAAAATGTCTGCTTCACTTCAGACATTTTGGTAATTGCTACACTTGTTTCACTAATGTAACACGACTAAAGATAACTCATTGTTTTTAACATGACACAAACTTTACCTTTAATTTAGCAAATCGCTCTAGGTGATGCTCATACATCATCATATTAGTTGTGTTGTTTCCTCTGGCTGCTGCTGTCCGATTGCACATAGGACAGCTCTCTGCAGCCAAACCTTCACTGTTCTTCTACAGTAGCCCAATTAAATTCCTGTGTAGTTGACTTTCATAACACAAGTTTTATAGCATAGCGCTGAATGCATAGCACCCTATCTGAAAGGACCAAAGCAGGCAGAAAAAGTTTGGGGCACTCAACCCCTTCACCCATCTGTCAACCTGTAAAGCAAATAGCTACACAGGAGTGACGCAGAAGGGATTGTGATATTGCAGCTGCTTACCATAACACTGTTTCTGATGATTTCTCTAAGATGTATGGAAAAAAGCTTTTACCACATGACTATTTCATACAGGTGGGTACCCACCCAATGTCTAATGTTAAAATGTTCACATTAAGCATACAAAAATAACTTGTGAATTTGAAGTAATGCATAACATTGGACTATTTACCATTTACCATATAGCTTATCATAATCCATTAACAGACATACTGTTAACTTAAAAATCTTTATCGTAAAACATTTGATGTGTTTGATTTTTTTTCTCAGTTTCTCAGGTTTTTCTTACTTTTTAATATTTTTTTCTCCTATCTCTTGCTGTCTTACAGGTGGTGTCCTGCTATTACATGCGAGGACTCCAACATACGGCTGAATGCATGAGGCTGTGAAAGAGAGTACAGAAGGGAGGGATCTCAAGGCTTTCCATCGTAGAGAGAGGATACAATCTGTGACTTGTCCCCTACTATTTTGCAGCTATGTTGGAGCCCACAAATGTTCTTCAGCCTTGCAAGGAAAATGGGTTCTCTTTTTACATCTCTTTGCTCTGTAGTTGGGTATGGGCCAGAGCAACATAAAGCCTTCCTGGCCCTGAAAGAGACCCCTGGGGCTGTTCTTTGGAGGTATTTGTGATAACTCTGCTGGATCTTCTGCTGTCACCATCCTCTGTGGTTTTCATTAGTGGCTAATGAGCTGCTGCTTGAAAGGAAAGGGAGAATGCGCCTGTGGAGAGAGGCAGGACCTTACAGCTGTTATTAAGAGACCAAAAAATCTCAGACAAGGATGTCTTTGCCCTTCCAAATCAACAACAAAAAATTGAACCCTTTAAAAGGAGCTTTGGAAGCATGGACTTTTTCTAAGATTGGATGTTGTTTTGACGTGTCTCTCTTTTCTGGTCTTAATTATTAAGACTTTGTTTTTGTGTTTGAAATATATCTGTTGACAATTATGCAATTGAGATCAGAGACAAAATATTCTATCAAGATAATTCAATCAATGAACGTGTGCTGAAAAACCTTAACAAGAGGACCTTTTATGAAACTGTTAAACATTCAGCAGTTGTAAATTTTATTATCTTTACCCATCATATGTCTTGAAAAGAATTGACCAGCATGGCAGCAGCCTATCGTGTAGTTGTAAGCAGTGTCAGCTGCTACAACAGTGTGGTGGTAGACCGACGTGTTCAATGCCAAGCTGTGCACTACTGTGCAGGGCCATGTGGGGCACAGTCTAAAGGTTTGGACTGTACCGTTGCACATCGAGGCACATGCTCTGAGCTCCTAGTTGCCCCTGAATCTACATACAATGATTTCAACGGCTCACCAACACACACCCATACCATAATTTCTCAGCATCTTCCTAACCATGGTAAACTTTGTATTTCTATGGATCCCATTCAAAATGGAGGTTTGGAGAGGGCAGACAGCAGTGGCAATTTGTCTTTAGGGGAGGACAGCCCCACATGGCGGGGTAAAAAGACTTCTACTACTGGAGGATCTATTGGGAATCTAAGTTGCTCTGGCAGCCTGAAGGACATCACTGAAGAGGCTATTAACCTGGCCAGCGGCAAGCTCAAAGAGTTCTCTTTTGACAAGCTCCGCCTGTCCTCCTCTAGTCATGTTACTCTCCGCAAAGGTCGTAAAGTGCGCCCTGACTCTTTTAGTCGTCGCTCAACTGACCTGGAAATAATCTATGGCCACTTTAGCTCGAGTCTAACAACAAGCACAACAACTAATACTATGACAAATGGCATAGTTACTTCCAATGACGAGAATGTGCCACCATTTGTTTTAGGGAAAGGGAATGGAGTGGATGGAGCAAAGCTAAAGGGTAGCTCTGGTGCTCTTTCAGCCACCACAAAAATTGGTAGTGGGTCCACCAGCAGCCTTTCAAGTATTGGGACACTCGACCAGAGTCTAAACACCGTGGCCTCCCTGTACCGCACTACCTTTGGAGAGGAGAACCTTATTGCCCGACTTCTAGAAAAGACAAGGGCAGAGGCTGGAAGCGGAGGAGCAGGTGGTGAAGACATCCGTGCTTGCCTTGACATCCTGCTTAAATGCTCTGAGGACTTAAAGAAATGCACTGACATTATCAAGCAATGCATAAGGCGCAAAGCAGGTGGAGGGCCAGAGGATGGAGGTACAAATCCTGACAGCATTTATCGGGCAGTGATGACCCGACTTAGCTCTTATCTCAAGAGGCTTCCTTTGGAGCTGGAAGGAGTTGGAAATTTAGGAGGAACGGGTCACGGCAGTCAAGGTGCACCTGGAAGTGGACACAGTGACCTGGCTGAATTGATTAACACTATTCACTCTATACAGCAAGGACCTTTTTCTCCGATCTTTGGCAATGAGCAACCTCCTCGCTATGAAGATGTGGTGCAGTCACCTCCCATCTCCAAGACTCATTTACACTCCACATCTTCTACTCCTTCCTCCGTCACAACTTCATCCACATTATTAAGATCAGATTCTCTTCATACCAAATCAGTCCAGAGTTCAGTCTCTCAAAAGGGTATATCATATAGTAATGGACTACAGCCCACACATGCTTCTTTGAACACCCAACACACTCTGTCTCCCCCACCTGTTATATGTTCGACCTCCAGTTCGTCTCCAAAACACTCAACCACCCCTCCAAGAAACTCTCCAACACCATCATACACACACACTCCCTCAATATCGCCTATGGAAGCTCTATATATTGAGGAGGAAGAGGGAGAAGTCGCAAAGACTACGGATCAAATCTCACGGCTGACACACACTCCAACCAGAGTGATTAACAATACCCATAACAATATTGTAAGTGTTATGGGAACACAACCACACCTTTTCCAATCCAACACAATTAATAACTCGTCAAATTGCTTGCCAGGCAGCTCTGGCTACATTCCCACTTGGCCATCCTCCTCCTCAACAGTGTCAACAGCCAAAGGTGCTTCGCACAGAAATGATGACATTGATAAACTTCTAATGGACTTGGAGAATCTCTCTCAGAGTATGAGCCACCCAAAAACCATAGAACCTCCACTTCCAGCTAAGACCAGGAAGAGAGCAGGAGCACAAGGGATTGTCTCACATGAGTCTTTCACTCAAGCCAGAATACCCCAGTACCAAGTACAAAAACCAGCCAACCACCTTGGCGTGAATGGTGTTAATTACAGGGTAACCCTGAGTCCCACTCCTCCTCAGGAAGTAAACAATGAAACTGGGACTGGAGAGGAAGAGGATGGAGTACTTTTGTTGAGAATTCTTGAAAGCATCGAGAGTTTTGCTCAAGAGCTTGTTGATTCAGGTGCTGGGAGTACAGGTAGTGCTGAGAGAAAATCTGGAAAGGAGAGGGAGGTGATGAGGCTCCTGCAGGACACACTGGTCACAGCCAGTAGGGCTGATAGCCCAAACAGCACAACCCCAGCAGTAGTTTCCACTGCCCCCTCAATGCACACAGTTGAAGTTCAACATGTAGCTTCAAACCACTCCCAGGAAAATGCATCTACAGTGTCACCTAAACCAGCATCTGATGCTGACCATAATGCTACAATTGAATCAGAACCTAAACCTTTAACAGATGCTGCTACAGAACATTTGTCTGACCTTGTGCCTGACGGAACTGCTCAAGCTCCTAAAGTTGAGTTTCATCCAGAATCCCCTAATGACTCTGGATGTGCAAACCCTGAAATGTCTACTGTTTTAGATGAGTCTGTACCTCCATCCTCTCTAGAAGCATCATCTCCTGTTACCCTCTCAGTCACAGAAGATATTGTCATAGCTGATGGTGATCCATGTGATTTAAGAGAAGCTGGTTCTACCCTCCTCATTCAGCAGACTCCAGAGGTCATCAAGGTATGTAAAATTTGAAAATGCACAAAGAACAAATAAGGCGGATTTTGACATGTTCTGTATCATAAATAAGGTTTGTCCACTAGCTGATCCACTAGCTGATAATGGCCCAGTTAATAAGATAATTTTGAGATAATTGAGATGTTGATGTTTTAAGAGTTCAGTTTTTATTTCTGACTCATATGGTGTTGCACAATGACAGGAAGACAACATAACTGCAGGGTTTCTTAATATTCAATCATTGAAATTGTTGATCTTTAGCTGAGTCTTAGGCTTTAAAGATATTGCTTTGACCTCACAAACATCAACTGTAGCTACTGAAAAGTGATATTTTCAGTTGTCATGTTGATAGACATTTATTGTATGAGCAGCTGCTACCAACTGGCTAAGTGACTGCTCGGCAATTACAGTCAACTGCCATTTAATCTCCAAAGTAGATCCCCCATTTTGTCACTGAAACAGTTTTGAAATCTAAGGGTTTAAATAAAGAATGAGTTGGAATTAAATTAGTGGTCTACTACCAGGACATGAGGAATAGATCCTGTGTACATGATGGACTGTAGGGTGAAGTATCTTAATGTTAAACTACCTTTAATGTAGGCTTCTTCTGCTTTTATTGCACATATTTGAGGGTTATTTGGAGACAAATTAGACAACTCAGACTTATAAAAAGTTAATAAGTAGATTGGAAACGCAGAAAAAGCCCAGATGAAACTTCTTTACTGTTTTAGTGGATACTAGCAGAGAAAGTTACAGTGGGTGTTTAAAGCCGACTCTAACAATCATTTCAGGGTTTCTGATTCTTCTATTTAGACCTGCCCCAGAACAAAGAACAATCATTTTAAGAACAACAATGTCCATATTCTGGCCAAGGAACAGAGATGGTTTTAGAGAGGGTTTAAGGAAGCTATCCTTGTTAACCTGGAAAAACCATAATTCAAAGAAGGAGTTGGTCTTGGACATAACCTGTCACCTACTTACAAAGCACTTTTAGGAGCAATAACCAGAAGATTAACCTCACACCTGCCCTCACCTGACTCACACTTCAATAAGGCATGAAACGTCTTCTAGAAAACTTCACGTCCAGTTTCCTAAAATGAACATTTCAAGCTTGACCATGACCTGGATGGCTGAGAATCTTCACAGATATCATGTACATATGAAATCCCATTAATTGAATTTTAAAATTATTCCCGATTCTTTATGATGCAGTTTTTGAAACTGCATTTTTGAAACCTTTATTTGTAAAAACATATATATATATATATATATATATATATATATATATATATATATATATATATATATATATATATATATAT